TTTTTTTTTTTTTTTTGTCATGCTCCCAAAACTTAACAGGGTGCTTTCTTTGCATTGCCTTGTTCTTCAAATGGCGTCTTGGATGTCGGTTAAAAACTTTACTTTTAGTCGGACATGGCTGAGACCAGGACAGAAAATAAGGAGTGTGGTTCGCGTGCATCTTCCCTAAACACAAACTCCTCCATTTTCTAACCTCCCACCCCCCCTTTTTTTTTCCTTTTGGCCCTGCAAGGTTGATCAGAGAGCCACCACCTTAAGAAGCTATCTCAATCCTTATCTCTTGAGTGTTTCCTTCTAATGTCTCTGGGCCTGGTAGTTTCCATGTGCTGCTTGTACTGGAGAATTGGACAGACAGGCTGAGAAAAGAAGGGAAGAGACATATATCTGGAGAAGGGTCTTTGCTGTGTGTTGAGACAGGCAACCAACTTTCTTCTAGTAAGAGTGGACTGTAAGTTCTGTGAGGGCAGGGACTGCTTTGTTGCCCTTTTTGGTGTTCTGACAGGAGTCTGTGGAAATGTCTGCAGCAGCCATTGTACAATAAACATTTAATGGCATGGTTGAAAAGAAGATTCCCCACCCCCCACCCCTTTTCCATGTGAGGCAGAGGCAATTAAATCAGAAACGTCACTGAATAGTCTCATTTAGAACAAAACCCGCTGTATTATGACACGTCCCTTTGGTGCTCTAGGGATTGGAGTCTCACCAACCTGCCCAGCTGCTCACGGCAATCTAAAGTTCCATCTTAAAGATGACGGTGTTTATGGCCCTTGTAATTACCCACCATTCCAACTCAGAGTGAAAGCAGTGGCTTGCCATTTAGTGCCGCGAAGCTAGAACTGGAGCAAGCAGTTTTTCCGTCTCAGACCTGAACCATTTGAATATCACCTGGAGATTGTAACGCCTTCCCGAAGGCCACTGGTAGCGCGTGAGAGTTTCTTTTTTGGCTGTATTGGACGTCCCGGTTTGCCACTCGGCGAAAGGCAAAGCACATGGAAGGCCAAGTCGTCCCTTGGAAGAGACTGATTTGGTTAAATGCTTGGCCGTTGGTGGCACAATAGAAACAACATTTCTCTTTTTCCTCTCCCTTCCCCCCCCCCCCCGAACATTTCAGAGTGACCAGTGATTGGACTCTTGGCGGCGCTTACCCTGAATCCTGAGTGTTAGGGGAGAGAGGGAATCTGCAGTTGCGGTTTCTGGAGCTGCTCATTAAGCAAGAATTCCCTATCCTGAGCAAGGCTTTAAGCCTAAAAGAAAGCAGAAATAGGTATGGATCATTGGTGTGTCTGACATGTGTGCATATGTGCATGTGTGTGTACTGGGTGGGGTGGGCATGGAATGGGTGGGGGTGGCCTAGTCTTGGGGGTCTAGAGTAGCTCAGTAGCAATATCAGTGTGGTCTTGCCTTGCAGGAAGTGTCTGTTAGGGATTTTGGTTGGAATTCTAGAACTTCTTGTTCCCCTAACCCACTCCCCCCCACACTTTTTTTTTTTTTTTTAGAGAGAGAGAGAAGGAGAGGGAAAGTCCAGTTCCAGGCACCAAAAGGGACTTATAGGTTATGCTTTGTGCACCTGTCTGGAAAAAATACCTTTCCAATATGAGAGTTTATCTACAGAGGAGCCCTGAAGAGTCACTGGGAGAGAGGAAAAGCACACTGAGGACATGCTGCTCAGTCTCTTAGTGTGCCCAAAAGAATATGGGGGCGTTGAGAAAGCCCTTTCTGGAGGTTTAGCTGTTAGGCCATTAGTAAAAAAACAAAACAAAACAAAATAAAAGCAAAACAAAACAAACACCTCAGGTGGCTGACATCATACATGAGTGAGAAAGAAGGGAAGCTGACCTTTTCCATCTGCCATGTACATAGTTCCAGGTCATTCCCTAAAAAACCAAAGGAAGTGAATGCAAGGCTGAAGGAGATGAGGGAGTGCCCAGCGTATTAAATCTAGGGGCGCAGGAATGTGGATGTCTGAGTTTTTCAACTAGAAGCCTGATGAGTCTGGATAGGCTGACTTTTAATGTGACTTTTTGTGTGACATTATAGTCATTTTCTAAGAACTTTGAAGATCTGGGAGAGTAGAAGTTTCATTTGTAAAATGTTAATATTGAATTCTAACAGTGTGACAAAACAGATTTTTTTATGAGTCTTTTCTCATAATTCTTAATTCATAAGTCTTTTTATAAATTTGTGGGACTAGACAATGCTGGGGAGAAGTGTGGTGGTTGGAGGAGAAAGAGATGTAACCTGCTACTCATTTTTCATATGGAAAGGGAAAGCCGAGGAAAGAATAATCAGTTGTTGAAGTTCCATTATAAATCAGTATTATGATAACAATTTGAATCATGACTTGTCTTTCTACGTATAAGACATAGTAATATGTTTCAGTCAACTCCTATTGCTTCATTAAGAATTGAAGGGTGCAAAAAGAAATACCCTTTATTTTTACATTTCTGGGTATTGTCAGAGATACACGTTTCAAATGAGGATTTCCCTCTGAAAACACTATCTCCTCACCACCCCCACCTTACCTTCCCCCAAATGGCTGGGTGGTTGAAAATGAAACTTTGCAAACAATAACTACCCAAGCCATTCTTCCTTCAAGTCCTTGGCAAGGAACAACCAAAACAGACAATACAAGCCTGATTTTTTTACAAAAGAAAGATATGTTCCTGACTTTCATGAGATCAGAAAGGAAGATGTAGATATTCCTGGATAGGATCAACGTATCTGATGCAAGTCAAGCTCTCTTTCCTTGATTCTGGTTATTTAACGTTTTATAGCTCCTCTCATATGCTGAACTGCTTTATAAATTCTTTCAGTGAGTTGACTTTTTCCCACTGTTCTGTGCCCCGCCCCCCAGCATATGAGTTGGATTTTTAATTAAGGAAACAGAGATAAATTCTTATTTATAAGGACCTGGATGCACTTTGATGGGTGGAGAAAAGGGGCTATGTAAAGGTAAAGGGAAAGATCTGGTGTGAAAAGCAATGTATATGAACTTTGTAAGTAAACCGGTGTACAATAAAAATTTTATTTTTCAAAAAAAATAACCATAGGGGCCTGGAGAAATTGTCATTTCTGATCTCTCTACTTGACTTCTCTGATTTCCCCTAGTTTTCTTGGGGGTTAATATGAAATATTTAGCCCATGCCTAAAGTGAAAGAATAAACATAGAGCTCTTAATTTTATTAATGCTAGAGCCAGGAGTCACTGATAATTAGTCTATAAATCAGTTCTTTACTTTGCTTCTACAAAGTACCTTATCCCCAAATACCCATTTTCTTCCTCATTAGAGGACTGACTTGTCCATCAACTGGGTGTTAAGCTTCCTGTTTCCCCTTCCCAGGTCAAGGGCAGCCCAGGTGCCCAATTTCTCTCTCTCTTCACAAGGCACCACCAGCAATAGAGATGAGAAATTCTGACGACCAGCCAAGTGGAGGAACCACAGTATTGCAGCGTCTGCTACAAGAGCAGCTTCGCTATGGCAATCCTAGCGAGAATCGCAGCCTGCTTGCCATTCAACAGCAAGCCGCGGGAAACGGCCCACCTTTCTCCAGTGGCGCTGGCAACCCTGGTCCTCAAAATGAGGTGTTGAGTCCCCAAGACCACCACCAACAGCTTGTAGCTCATGTCGCTCGACAAGAACCCCAAGGGCAGGAAATCCAGTCAGAAAATGCCATCATGGAGAAGCAGCTGTCCCCTCGAATGCAGAACAATGAAGAACTCCCAACCTACGAAGAAGCCAAGGTTCAGTCTCAGTACTTCCGAGGCCAGCAGCATGCCAGCGTTGGAGCTGCCTTCTATGTGACAGGAGTCACCAACCAGAAGATGAGGACTGAGGGACGTCCGTCAGTCCAGCGACTCAATCCTGGGAAGATGCACCAAGATGAAGGACTCCGAGACCTCAAGCAAGGGCATGTCCGCTCCCTAAGTGAACGATTAATGCAGATGTCACTGGCCACCAGTGGGGTGAAGGCCCATCCACCTGTTAACAGCGCTCCCCTCTCCTCACCACAGTCCAACGACCTCTACAATAATCCTGCAAGTTCCAGTGAATTCTACAAGACCCAAGGGCCAACTCCCAACCAGCATAGCCTGAAGGGCATGGAACACCGAGGCCCCCCACCAGAGTATCCCTTCAAGGGCATGCCACCCCAGTCTGTAGTGTGCACATCCCAGGAGCCAGGGCACTACTATAGTGAGCATCGTCTGAACCAGCCAGGCAGAACAGAGGGGCAACTGATGAGGTATCAGCATCCCCCTGAGTATGGAGCAGCCAGGTAAGAGAGTTTCCTTTCTGTCCTTTCCTGACCTCAGCCCCAACCAGCTTCTTCGGCTGTGTGTTGGGAATCTTAAGAGAAGGAATGGGCGTTTGGCATAACAAACTGCACTGCATGGCTGGTCCTTGGCTTTAGTAGACTAGCTGTCCACCTGTGTTTCTAGCCTCTTGTGCCACAATTAGGCTGCTCTAGTGGTTCTGGTGGCCTTCGTGGTAAACTGCGCTACAGTCCCGAAGGCACTCGGTTCAAATCCACCAGCTGCTCCGCGGGAGAAGGATGGGCAGTCCCCTCCCGTGTGATTAACTGCCTCTGAAAACCCGCCAGAGGGTCAGTTATGAGGCGGTTCTGACTCAGTGGCACACAACAACAGTGGTGCAGTCTATAGCAAGTGAACCCAAAGGCCACATGTCTCAAATGGATCAAATCCATCCGTGGCTTCCTCAAGAGAAAGATGAGCAGTCACCTCTTGCTGCCATTTACAGCCTCAGAAACCTAAAGGAGGGTTGCTGTGAGTCAGAACCGACTTGATGGCAGTGACTTTGACTTTCAGGGGGTTTTGTTTCAGCCATGACAAGCACTGTGAATTCCCTTGGTTTTGTATACTGAACATGGCCACAGCCACCTACTACATGAACAAGAAGACAAATCTTGATGTCAGTGGGTATTCTTTCCTGTTTCCTAGGACATGAAAGAGAAGTCAGTCAGTGTGCCTCTTCTTTTGAGTTATTAAAGCCCCAAGAAGCAGATGCCAATTATCTTGGACTTTAGTCTAAAACATGCTATCACTTCCATTTATATCCCTGTAGAAAACTTTCATCACTTTTTACTTTTTCTTTTTGCACACTGATCTGTCTGCTTTCCTATTAGTTGTAATTTTTTAGTAGAATTACCATATTTTTTTTGAAAGGCAAACACATTTTCCTATATATGTATGTGCTTAGACTCAGAATGGCCTTGCCGTGTATCCTTTCTTGCATTTCTTGAAGTCTGGATGGTTTCATGTATTTTTATTTTCTATAGAAAGTTTAGAACTTGTCTGTCATGATTTTAAGTACATTAAACCCACATCTTATCACATGGCCAGAAGGGACCAGTCCTTGGAGAAGTACATCATGCTCAAAAGAGTGGAGGGCCAGTGTAGGAGAAGAAGACCTGGGATGAGATGGATTGATAGAGTGACTTGGGTAATGGGGGGGTAGGTGTGTTAGAGTCAGTGAGACTGGCTCATGGCAGGGTAGGCTTCAGAGCTGTTGTACCTAGGGTCGCTATGAGTCTCAGGTGACTTGACAGCACATAACAATAACATCACATAAAAGTTTTAGTCAGGTGCTAAAATGTAGAAGGAAAACTATTCCCATGCCTTCAGTACCACTAAATTAAGTTTGGAAAACTTTCTCACATATTCAGTTACTCTTAAACACACCTCTTAATTATTCAGAACTCATTGTCCCATTGCTGCATTTGCCAGACGTTGTGTGATTCTGTTCATTGTTCCTGTTATTAGTTGGACCATCTCTGATCAGTACTATTGCAGCATGTGAGTTGGCAAAGGAGATTGGCACCATGGGCAACAGTGATGGTAATTTTGTGTGGCATTTCTGACCATTTAATGTGGGTAATTTTGAGTGGCCCTAAGCTTTGAATTCCCCGGGCTGGTATTTCATCATAGGCAGCCCACATACCAGCCCTGTTAATCTTTCCCCTCCTCCTCATTTGGGGGAAAAAGCCTCTTGGCTTAAAGTTCATTGGGTTACTCAAGAGAGAAAGCAGGCCGTGGTGTTATAGGGTGAAGGTAAGATTATACACCTATATTACCTGGTATTTAACTCCCCCCCCCCAGGTCCTGTGGTTTTCCTGTCTGTGTGTGTTGGGTTTGTTGTTGTTTTAGCCAGGTGCAATTCACTTTAGACTCCACCCCACTTTTGCTAGTTTAGATTTTTTTTTTTCTCTCAGATTGCTTTCCTAACCCTTTTTAACCTCTTCTGTCACTTTCAAAGGGCAGGAGCCTAAGTTCTGATAAGTGACTTGGGAACAGGAAATAGAGTAACCATCCGGGCTATTCACGTTTCAGTGAGAACAAGCATCCATTTCCCATCTGTCCAATGAAACGGAAGATCTAGAGAGGGCTGGGGCTGCTCAGCTGCTTAGTTGAGTGGAAACCCGCTCAAGCCAGCAAAGTGTCAATGAAGCCGGGGGTTTTTGTTTTGCTTTTCCCATCAGTATGGAAGAAATCTGTAGGGCTCCCTCCCATATGTGGATGGGCTGACGTCTGTTGCCTTGTGGGAGGGGAGTGTGTTGGCTGGGGTGTGGAGCAAAATGGCCCGCCTTCCCAGGAAAGCTATTTTCAGAAGTCATTCACCAGTATTGTTTGTGATCTGAAATGACTCCCACAGTGTTTGAAGCTAGATGGAAAAGCCCTTTGATCTTCCTAAATAAATAATAAGGAGCCTAAAGAGAGTGTGGCTTCCCCCACCCCTTCTTCGTCCAGTACTGATTAAATCACCAGAGAAATCTAGCTGCATGTATTTTAGAGGAAGATACTGTATGTTTCTCCTTCCTCCTAAATTTTGTGGGGTTGCTCTGTCTTTCTGACCCCCAAGTCTGCAGAGCGCCTGCTGACTGTCCACTCTAAAGCAACAATGTCATATGTAGGTTCACTTTAACAAGTCTTCTTTCTCTGGGAGGAGAGCAAGGTGCTTGGTACGTTTGATGAATAAGCAGATGGCAAGTGATCCCAACTGGAGGATGCTCTGTGTAAAGGTTGGATCTGCTTCAGGCAAATTTTGACTGTAAAGTCGTGTCCCCCCCCTCCCCTTGGGGCCCAGGTAAGGGAGTGGCATCTGTGAACAAACTATTGGCAGGAGAAGGTAGTAGAACTGCTTTCCAGAAGTATACGATGTGGTGACACTTTTTTCCTCCTTTATGTCCTTCAACCAACTAGCGATACAGTCTGTGAGTACTTTTCCAAGTTAACTGCCATGAGCAACAAACAATTAGGAACCTAAATTCTACATTCTTAATCCACAAATTACATATCAGCATGCAGATCAAACCCTTTGAACAAATTGCCGTTTAAAAACAACAACAGAAACCCCTTTGTTTGCCTTTAGAAGTGCAGTGAGATACTGGAGATTTGCTGTTAAAAAAAAATGAACAAAATGTTATAAACAATCTTTTTTATTACCTCATCTTCTGTATTTCCTCCTCCCCACTTAAAAAAAAAAAGTCATGAATGCCCAAAGCTCCAGATGGGAAACAAGGCCAAGCCAGCTGAAGAATTTTAAATTTTCTGAATCATTGTTCTCCTGAGCACTGAGCCTTTGCCGGATCCTGGGTTTTGTACATTTATCCATGGGGTTTTTTTTAAAAAAGATGAAATCATTTCTGTTTGCAAAGCAATTGCCTTCTTTCAGTTGCTGAGATCCTGCCAGATCTGAGGTTTCTTGAAATCCTCGTTGAGTGGAATCTGAGAGTGACCTAACTGTAGTTCAGAACGGAGCTGATTGTGCAAGAGAAACAATTAGGAATTTGCAGCCCTCTCCGGGCCTCACAGGCTTCACCAGTGCTGAGTCTCGGAGAGGAAGCATTTCTGTGGTGAGAAAAAACCGGGTTCCAGGCTGTTGGTGGCACCTGTTCTGGTATGAGTGTGTATGTGTGTACAAGAACTTGCACTGGCGTGGGTCAGGACTGACTGCCTCTGTGTGTGTGTGTGTGTGTGTAATGTATGTGTATTTGAGGAAGGTGGAGGCTTCCTGTGACCATGGCGGCAGGATAGAAGGTTCTGTGTCAGCTGGATGCACTCGCTGGCTTTTACTTTCCCTTTGTGTTCTTGCAAGCCCTCTCTGGCAATGAGTTTCTCTGGCTTTGGGAAGGACACCAAATGCTGAATTGAGTCACAGGCCTCCTTGTATATGTGCTGTCACTCACCCCCTTCCCCCACACCCTAAGTGGCCCAGGTTGTCTTAGAAAGGAGCAGGATGAAGGGAGGGAAGAGACAGGGAGGCAGGTCAGGGGGCCTTCTAGTAGGATCATGTGATTCTATTGTCTGTTGGCGACTTGTTGTTCGTGGTTAATATTTCAGTGGGGAGAGATTCAAGCTGCTTGTATAGTGGAAGGAAGGACATGGGTGGTTTGCAGTCGGGCTGACACCCTTATTATTACTGTTATTACAATTATTATTATCTTTATTTAATCTTGAGTTTATTCTGATCCTGCCAATCTTTCTCGCAGGAGCCTGGGTAACATAGTGCATAATGCTCCAGGCTGCTAACCATAAGGTTAGCAGTTTGAATCTACCAGTTACTTCTTGAGAGAAAGATGGACAGTCTCCTTCTGTGAAGATTTATAGCCTCAGAAACCAACAGAGGTCGCTATGAGTCAGAATCAACTTGATGGCTGTTTGTGTGTGTCTGCATGTGTGTGATCTCCCCCATAGCTCTCTTGCCCCCCCAGTCATCTCTCCCCTCTTTTCAGGGGAAACTTCACACAATTATTAATGCTGTTATGCTTTTATGTGGTGGGAGGGTGCTGGAGCCCAGATGGAGTTTATTAGCTGGAAGCTTTTCTTTTCTTCTGTGACCATCAGAGACTGAATGCCCAGCTGTCCTGGTATTCCCAGCACTGCAGTGCATGTAGTCCCCTCCTTTTCCAGCCTAGGAACCTGAGGGACAACTGCCTTGTGTAGGTAGAACCCAGAGTCATGGCCTGATGCAGATCCTGGGTGGCTGAGATTCAGAGAGCTCAGACTCCAGAGAGCTAGTGATCTTCTTTCCCAGTCCCCTGGAAGGTACTTTATGCGTGTTCAGGGCATTGAGGGATCTTTCCAGGCAGGAGAGGGTCCACTGGCACAGTCTAAGAGAGAATCCTGTGTTGCTTGATGGGTCCCAGAGGAGTTGAGGGGGCGGGTAATATTCCAGTTCAGAACTGGGCCTTCAGTCATTGAACGAGAAAACCTCGAAAGCTTCTAAACTTTAGAACAAACAGGAATGTCAACATGGTGATTCCCTCCTTATATTTTGAGACCTAGAAAGAATGCTGCCAAGCAAAAAATGTAATCCCCTCTCTTGTGCATTTGGGAGCTCTGACGGCCTAGTGGCAAGAAATTGTGTTGCAATTCCCAAAACATGCAGTTCAAGGCCACCAGCCGCTCCGCCGGAGAAGAATGGGCAAATTCTAGTACATTGTTTTCATTCTAGGGAAATATAGTATAATATATAAAATACAGTGTACTTAACTTATGAGGAAACTGTAGACCCCTGGTATAAAATACTGGGAAAGATCCATCAATAGAAGTTTACACACAGCCCCAAGGTTTTTTATGTGATGAGTACTTTGAACTCTTCGAGAGAAAGATTAGGTATGGTAGCAGTTTTACAATTGTAATCATGAGTACCATGCACAATATTCTGTGCATGATTTGTTTGCATGCATCTTTTACCATTAACCAGTCATTTATATTAAAGTGTGTATGAGATTGGGTGAGTGAGGAGGGGGTTAGTAGTTGTTGAATCAGAGCCATAGATGGAGCTGAAAAACATCCTAAAGTTAAGGTAAGTTCGAGGGCTCTTGTAAACATCTGAGTTATTGAAGATCCATATGTAAGTATTTGAAAAAAATATATATATGAAACCTCCTTATAACGAGGATCTCTTCTAGGGATAAAGTATCAATAATGCCAACTGGAGTATGTGTGGAGGAGATAAGCTTTGGCATGTTGATTGCCAGTTAAAAGTTAATTGCTCCTACAAATTTGTCCCAGTTCCATCATGAATTTTATGCAATTTAGTGCAGAGATTTAAGTGGCTATCCCATAAGTAAAATCTAATAATAAGATCAACCTATTTAACTAGGAGGTAAATAAGAGACACTTTATGATTTCTTTTGAGCTAAAAAATGAGACGAGCCCAGTATGTTTGCAGGAATGACACAGGCTCATGCAGATGAGGTAATTTGAGTAAGGTCTACATGCCTGATAAAATAGGGTCTCCAAACTGGTATGATTCACATTCCGCAGATTGAGCAGTCTCAACTCATGACCAGGTAGCCATAGGATTTGAGAGGTACATGAGGTTAGCTAGACAAGGGCTAGGCGATATGTGTGTGCCAGAACAAGTTTTATGTCTTTGCTAGAGGTGGTGATGGTGGAAGTGATGTGTTTCCCTTGATGACTAGTGGTCTGGTATTATGTACACAGAAAGGGAAGAGTGAATGACATTAAATAGTGTCCAGAAGTTCTCCAAGATTGTAAGTCTTGGCCTGAGGATTTGAAAATTGGTGCCCAGTAATTAGTGTTTTGTAGTGGTGGAGGGCTGAAAAAAGTGATAATCAAGGAACAAGGGCTCTACCCTGGCATTACTGCTAACACACTGTGGAGTATTTCATAGACCATTTCACTCTCTGCATCTCAGTTTCTCCAGAGACAGAGTGGAATTCGTCTAAGAGCTTTTTACCTCTTACATTTTGTCATTCACTAATACAAAAAAAAAGGTGATAAGGTTTACTCCAACCCCTTCCAAATCTTGATATGGCCACTGCTAATTGAGACACCACCGTGAAATCATTAATAACTATAATCACCAAGTATTATGTGGTGTGGTTTAGATAAATACTTTCTGTATCCTCAAGTAAATTTCTTGTGACTGTATGACCAAAGGGATGCTTCAGAATGATCAAAGGGGGTTGCAGATAACATAATGAAGGCATTCTCTATGGCTGTTGAGAGAGAGAGAGGTTTGTTGTTGTGTTTGGTTTTTTCTGTGCAAGTGGGATGCATTTTCTAAATTTAAAGCTTTGTGTGTGCTGCACCCCATATGGAATGCAAGAAAACATTTCATTTAAAATGACAAGGTAAAAAAATAATCCTTTTGGTATATTTGCTAAAACACTTGAACTTCCTCTGTGAGTATACAGGCATCCATCAGTTTAGATTTCCACCAGAAGACCTTTGAGGTCATCTGTTTTAGTCCCCCCGCCATGGGCACACATCATTCTCCATCAGGTCTTTCTGTCTGGTGAAGTCCCAGAAAATCCGATCTGGTGAGGTCTGTAGGGGTTCTTGCAGGGACCACATAGCCTAGTACTGCCTGCTCCTCAGCTCCTCATTTTGCTGGTGTCCGACGTGTCCTAGACCTTCCTACTCCTGCTTTATTATGCTTTTCCCCCTTAGTGCTTTCGTGGGCACCCTAACCTGAGCATGCCCTTCGTCTTTTGCAGGCCAGCACAGGACATCTCATTGCCACTGGCTGCCAGGAACTCTCAGCCTCATAGCCCTACTTCTTCCCTCACATCTGGGGGTTCCTTGTCCTTGCTGCAGTCTCCACCATCCACTAGATTGTCTCCTGCCCAACACGGCTTGGTTCCAAACCAAGGCGACCACTCTTCTCACCTGCCTAGTAGGCCACAGCAGCATTTCCTTCCTAATCAGGCTCACCAGGGAGACCATTACCGTCTCTCTCAGCCCAGCCTTAGTTCACAGCAACAGCAGCACCACCACCACCACCACCAACCCCAGCAGCAGCCACAGCCGCCGCAGCAGCCGCAGCCAGGAGAGGCCTACCCAGCTATGCCTCGGGCGCAGCAGTCATCTGCTTCTTATCAACCTGTGCCGGCCGACCCTTTTGCCATTGTTTCCAGAGCCCAGCAGATGGTTGAGATCCTCTCAGATGAGAATCGGAACTTGCGGCAAGAGTTGGATGGATGCTACGAGAAGGTGGCCAGACTCCAGAAGGTGAGGCCCCTGTTTGCAGATGTTAAAGTCTCTTTTACATTTTATTTAAACAGTGAAAGTTGGTTAGTGTACTTTTAAAATATTCACACAATGGAATACTACGCTGCATTGAAAAGCAAGGAACTCATGCAATATTATTCAAAATGAGTGGCCCTGGAGGACATTATGCTGAATGAAATATCTCAGTCACAAAAGAACAAATACTGCATAGAGCCCCTGTTGTAGAATGGGACTGACATCAGGGTTGCGGGGAGACTGAGAAAGATGGGACAAATTATGTACACTGCTTTGAAACTGATGAGGGAGAAATCTGTTTAAAAGCGATATATGATTGGGCATTATGGTTATGACAAGAGTCCAGAACGAAGGTTGCATAGTGGAGCATACTTGGGCGGGGGGGAGGGATTGTATACCAATGAAAGAATTTTTCTTTTATTTTCAAAGAGAAGACTGAACTGGGGGGAGAGGTGGGCAGGGAGAAAAATGCAACAGTGAATGAATGGAAATCCCAATCTCTGTAAATGTTCATGAAAATTAATTTTAAAAAGTTTCCCTTTTCATGTACCCACCTTATTTAGGGAGCTTTGGTGGCTTAGTGGTAAGGAGTTGCGCTTCTACTGGAAAAAGAAGCAATCTGAGTTCACCAACTGCTCTGTGGAAGAAAGATGGGTCATCTCCTCCCATGTGATTTACAGCCTCTGAAAACTCACTGGAGGGTTAGGCTCACTACGCATCATCAGGCCTGACTCGAGAATACACAATGACAACTTTGTGTAAGGACAGATTTTCAAGGTTCTTCAATCTGAATGTGGTTATGTGTCAAACTTTGGAGAAGGCCTTCTGTCCTGAGAGAAGTAATTTGCGTTTATGTGAGCGAAAGACACAACACGTTTTATATCACTTCCCTAGGCACCATAGTGCTAAAGGAGACATAATAGATTGTTTTAGAATCCCTGTATTAAATTATATGCTGCTATTGTTGTTAGGTACCACTAAGCTTTTGACTTAGGTAAAATGCATCAAAACCTTGCCCAGTCCTCACAGCCTCTGCTGTGCTCCAGTTCATTGTTGCAGTTACTGTGTCAACCCCCAAATAACATTGTTTTAGAATCCCCGAAGGAAGGAAGCACCTTATCCTAATAGATGAACTCTTGCCGACATCTTCAGGCTTTGCTCTTGATTCTGAATTAGCATCTTAAATATAAAACTTCACTCTGAGAAAACAGATCTCCCCAGATGCAGTTGGATCCTGCTTTGCCTTGTTCTGGAAAAGGCTTACAGTACTTTTCCTGATTGGAGGTTTCTGCGTAACCCTCCTTCAACAGCCCTTCTTGTCCCTGTATTTGTGTTCATCTTTGTCTGCAGCTCAGATTTAACATCTGTTCTCTTGCTCTGGGGTGTGTAGGAGGCAGGAGGGGCCTAGTGCCACAGCTGGGTGACAGGTGACAGCCCTAGGGTGAGGAAGTAGAAGGAAAAAAAAAATAAAGAGTATGTGTCCCCAAGTTCACATTCTTCCCTTGGCCCCTCCTGTCTTCCAAAGTAGAGACTTCAGCTCTTGATTGCCCCAAGCTGAGAACCTTAAGTCTTGGCTTCCATTTGGTTTTGATAAGTACGGTTAGGCCTTTGGCAGCCTCTTTATCGCTTTTTGCCATTGTGGAGCTCATGTGGTCTGATCTCCCTACAATGTGCACTTTTCAGGCAGCTGAGGGCAAAGGTGGAGGAAGGAAAGGAGGTCGTGCCTTGTATTGTTCAGTAAGTCCATCCTTGGGAGACACCTAGGAATGGAAATTTCAGGGACATGAATGAGGCTGAAAATTTGGAAACCCCAGACCTCAAGCCTAAAGGCTTATGATCAGTTAAGTATTTCTTAGGTAGTAAAATTGGCTTCCCCCTTGTTGTTGTTGTTGTTGTTGTTGTTGTTGTTAAGTGCTGTCGAGTCGCAGGTGACTCATAGTGGCCCTATGAACAAAAGTCCTGGACACTTCCTGCATAACTTCCGTCCTTTCTCAAGCTATTGTGGAAGTGGATGCCACTCCTGCTTCCAAGTTTGTTTTAATTGGGGAACTTCACCTAACACTGTCCACTATGGGTAACAGTATTCAGCTTCACAGAAACCGTGAGTTACCTCTGTACAGCAAGTGGACATACCAGGATTACACCACCTAGAAGAATGTTTCACCAAAAACAATTAAAAGCAGGCCTGAGGGCCGTGGAGTAGAGTCACCCAGCTTTGGCTTGGGAGCATGGCTTTCAGTCTGCTAGGCCGACTGCTTGGTCTCTTTCTCTCTGCTGTTGGTGGTGGTAGTGTTGTTAAGTGCCATCGAGTCGCAGGCGACTCATAGCGACCCTAAGAATGTAGTGAAAAAGGCTTCCCCCTTAGATTTCTCAAATCCGATTAAGAATTGTGGGAGTGTAGAGAGAGGATTGTTTCTCGCTGAATTCTCCCTCAAGTTTATATTTACTCTCTTTCCTCATTGTGACTACATTCCCTCCCATTATAAAAGCATGATATTTACACACTAGCTGCAGTTTTGGGAGCTCTGGTGGCACAGAAAGTTGCACTGCTAACCCAAAGGTGGTGTCTCTCTGCGTTCAAATCTGCCATTGGTTTCAAGGGAGAAAGGTGGACAGTCTCATCTGGTGGGATTTTACAGCTTCTGAAAATCCACAGGAAGATCAGCTCTGACTGGAAGGAAATAAGAGGAGCAGATTGAAATGGTTTGGTTGATTGGATTGATTAATGCTTGATGCCCTCTGCCTAAATCTGTTCAGGATAGCCTGTGCCCCATCTTTGATGGGGTAACTGAAGGAAGCATAAACTCAGATACCCTAAGCCCTCTTTGTTCAAAGATCCCTCATGATTGGTTTGACTTTTTCATTGTGTTTGTTGTTTGGTGTGGGTCTTTTATATTTTCTGGTGTGTGGTGGTGGAGAAGGAGGAGGAGAGAGTAAGATACTTGCTTTGTGTAAGTGTACAATCAAAAGACATAAAATCACCAGTGTTGGAAGACAAGCCTAGCAGCCAATATGAGGAAAATAGGCCTCACAATAGGCATAATTGGTACAACTTGAGTGTTAACAAGTAAAGGCCAACCCAGTGCTGTAGTGGGTTGGAAGAGCAGGTGTATGCAAGAGGAAAAGGAAAGTGGGGAGCATAAGGTGGCTAGAAGCCAGCTAGCGCCAGGGAAAATACTGGTCCAAGACTCCTATGCACATAGAACTCATAAGGAATTCGGCTGTCACTCTCAGTCTTCCCTGCCCACATCCTCAAGGCGACACACTGGACATGTCCTCCAGTGACTTCTTTTCCTGGAAGGCCCTGTTAAGAGATGTGCAACTTGCCTCTTTGAAGGGCACTGTAGTCTTTTCACAGGGAGTAAGAAAGAATTGGTAAAAGGCCTTGAAATAGTACTTTGTACAATTTGAGTAAAGGCCTTGCCTTCCAAGTGACACATTAGTCTATGGGGGAACTGGATAGCCTTGTATTCTAAAGGCTATCGAGAGCAAGCCAGCACCAAACCTGCTCTTTCAAGTGGAAATATTTCTTTTCTCTTCTCCAGCACTTAAATTTCTTGCAAAGGCTTCATCAGGTGCAGGTCTTGTGGATCTTGTCTCTAAATACCATTCAGCAGTTTTCACCTTCTGCGCTGCTATCTTGGTGCCATCTGCAGAGAGAAAAACACTTTCAGGTCTGCTCTTTTCTGTGATAGAAGCCCCGTTTTGTCTGCAAGGCATCATTTTGAGCCCGGGAGCAGGTTGATTGTGAGTTGTTTGGTCATGCTACCTGTCTCAGTCCTCTAGTGCCTATGTAACCAGAAATAACCACAAGTGGCAAGCTTTACCAAGCAGAAGTTTCTTTCTGCCAGCTTTAGAGGCTCAAAGTGTTCATTCAGAGTGCCCGTTTGAGGGAAAAGCTTTCTCTGTCAACTCTGGAGGAAGGTCCATGTCTCTTCAGGGTCTGTTTCCTGTTTCCTTTGAGATCGGCATGTGTCTTGGCTTCTCACTTAATCTCTGTGTACTCACATGCCTGTTATATTTCCTTCATATCAAAAAAGAAATTAACTCAAGACACCCTACCCTGATCTTGTCTCACTAACAACCCACTCCTAATTAGAATCACAACCGATGAGGGAGGTCATAAACAGAGGTTATGATTTTGTAACACGTGTTCGAGTGAGGCACAATTAAGTTGATAAAGACAACCTTTCCCTCAGTCTTATATTTGCTGCCGTTGTTAAGTACCATCGAGTCAGAACCCACTCCTGGCTGACCCTCCAGTGGGATTTCAAAGGCAGTGAATCACACGGGAGGAGACTGCCCATCCTTCTCTCACGGAGCAGCTGGTGAATTAGAACCTTTAACATGGCAGCTCTTTACCACGAGGCCACCAGAGTGCCGGGGGCCGGGAGGGGAGGGTCTGATATTTTCTCTCCGTAAAGTAATTTGAGGTAATAGGACATGGAGATAGAATGCAGATTACTGAACATTTTGAGGAAAGATTTATCCAAAGAAGGGGGATATATGGAAAATCATTTCCGAGTCCTATAAAGACCAAACTCTTGTTTGTGACTGGAGGAACTTCCCTATATTTTGACCTAAGATCGTTTTGAAGCCTTGAATGGAAACCATTCCATGAAGATGCCTTTAAACTAAAAATAAATAAATAAATAAATAAATAAATAGATAGATAGATAGATAGATAGATAGATAGATAGATAGTAGCGCAACTAATTAAAGAATGTTCCCCTTGAGCAGTTTGTTCTTTTACAGAATTATCTGTGATCATATTGATAACAGTAACTCTAAATCCGAAAAGTTTAGAGGACATGGAGTCTGAATTAATGGTGGCGAAACAATATGGGGAGAGAGAACAAGATGACAACACAATATGAACTGTATCACTGAGCTGCATATGTAGAAAAACACTGAATGAGTATTATTTTCACCAAAACGAATTTTTGTCTATAAAAAGAAAGAATGCAGGGGGTTGCAAGAGTCAAATTTCATTTATCCTCACTGCTTGTGGATAGGCTATGGCGTTTATTTTTCTTAGGCAAATTATATGCAAACACCTCTGGTTAGTATACGCAGTTAGAGAATGTCTAACTGGTTTCAGAATTGCTTTCTGGTTACAGAAATACTCTGGAGTCTCTCTTTCTTTTACTTATTTATTCCTGATTCTGGCTGATTTGGAGTAAGAACTTCTCACCTCATTGTGGTTTCTCCACCCCCACCCCGCCCTCCTCATCTTATAAGATTTGCAGGGTGTCATAAAACACAACTCTGTTCATTAATTTCTGTTCAAAAGTCTGTACTGGTTTCCCACTGACTCTGGGGATAAAGTCCAAATGCTTGGCATTAGAGCGAGCCCTTTTATGATCTGACTCCAGTCTGTCTTTGTAGCTGTATCTCACCCGCTTTCTAGTGTCCAGCCAAATGAAAGTACTGCTCATTCTGGGACTACATTTACTCACTCAGAATAGAATACCCTTCCCCTCACCTCTGCCGTTGAAACCTGACCCATTTCTTCAGTATCTGACTCGAATGCCACCTCTTGCCTGAAATTACTGTGCTATTTCCCTTACCCACAACAAGGAATAACCCCTTCTTTCTCTGTAGAACTTACAGAACTATTTCTACATATCTTGGTATGGCAGCATTTCCTGTGTTATTTTTCTCAAACAGATTGAAAGTTCTTTTTTGTTTGTTTGTTTTGGGTTTTTTTTTTAATTTATTTTACTAGTTTATATCCAAAATTTGTATACATACTTTCCAGAACAGATGCTTCTAATTTCTCTCACCCCCCCCCGCATCAAATTATACAACTCCGTGATTAATCCCCTCTCCCCCTGCACATCCTCATCCCTCTGCTTCTACCTTCTCCCACCCCTCTTGGATCCTTATCCTCATCCTACAATAATGGTTTTATAGAATATTTGTCTTTGTGGGACTGAGTTTGTTCACTCAGCATAATGCTCTCCAGTCCCTCCCAAGTTAGGGCAAAACGAAATTTCTCATTCATATTTCCATTTCTCACAACACTGTAAAGGCTTCTTGTAAATAATAGACCCTTGATAACAGTAAGCATCAATCAAACTGATGCATGAGACTGAGATTTAGGGTTCTTAGGGCTCATCTCTACGACTGACTTACACCTGCTAAGCTAGGGAGAAGGAGTCCTGGTGGCATAGTGGTTAAATGCTTAGCTGCTAACCAAAAGGTCAGTGTTTTGAACCCCCGAGCTGCTCATCAGGAAAAAAAGATAGCAATATTATAATATTATAGTATAATAGTATAATAATATTTCTATGAATATTAAAACCTTGGAAATCTTATGGGGCAGTTCTCTGTCCTGTATGGTTGCTATGAGTTGGAATTAACACAACAATAAAAATGTGTTCTTTAAGATGAGGAGAAGAATTCTTGCCTGGGAAGATAACAAAGCAAATTGAAATAAACATATGAAAACCTCTTCTCAAGTACCTGGGAAGTAATCAAGCTTTATGTTATATATTATGAAGGTGGTGGTTGTGATGTACCATCAAATCAGAACCAACTCGTAGAGGACCTTCCAGTGAGTTTTCAGAGACAATAAATGATGCAGGAGGAGATAGTCTGTCTTTCTCCCATGGACCAGCTGGTGGATTCAAACCCAACCCCGTGTCCTTGGGCTAGCAGTGCAACTCTACCACTAAGTCAACAGGAATCTTAACTTAAAGGCAACACCTCTCTGGTGGTTCAAATCCACCAATGGCACTATGGGAGAAAGATAAGGATCTCCTCAGGTGCCATTTACTACCTCTGAAAATCCACTCATGGTCAGCCATGAGATGAGTACCTTCTGCCTCGAAGTTACACAACAGCAACAATGGCTGCTGGCGGAAAGGTCATTGCTTCAAATTCACCCTCTGTTTTTAGGGAGATAAACAGACCATCTTTCCTCCTAAGTGTTTACAGCCTCAGAAACTCAATGGGAGGAGTTACTGTGAATTGGAATTGAGTCTATGACAGTGGGTTTCTCTCTTGTTATTGTTGTGTGTCATTGAGTTGGAACATAGCTGAGTCGCCAGCAGATTTTCAGGGGCAATAAACAGCACAGGAGGAGATTGCCCATCCTTCTCTTGTGGAATAGTTGGTGGATTTGAACCATGTGCCTTTGGGACTGCAGTGCAGCTTCTTATCACTGTTGTTGTTGTGTGCCATCAAGTCAGAACCAACTGATCGCTGACCTTCTAGTGGATTTTCAGAGATAGTAAATCACATAGGAGGAGATTGCTCATCTTTTGCCCTTGGAGCAGCTGGTGGGTTCGAACCATGTGCCTTTGAGTTGGCAGCACAGCTCCTTACCACTAGGCCACCACTATTACCAATATTTTTGTGATTGTTGTTGTTGTTGTTGTGTACCGTAGAGTCATAACTGACCCTCCAGGGAGTTTTCAGAGGTAGTCAATTGCTCAGGAGGAGATTTTCCATCCTTCCCCTGCAGAGCAGCTGGTGGATTCAAACTACTTGTCTTTAGATTACAGGGCAGCTTCTTACCACTAGGCTACCAGAGCCAGTTATCTATAACTCCATTTATTAAATTTATCTTCTCACTCTCCCTAAAGGTAGAAAACATTATTTTTATTTGTTTCTTTAAACTTGGGGGGAAAGTGCAACAATGAATGAATGGAAATACAAAATCTCTGTAAATGTTCATTAAAATTAATAAAATGAAATTCTAAAAAAAAAAAACAAAACACTTGGGAACGCGAATGAAACAGTGAGTTAATTACCAAATTTAAAGTCAAAGTAGAAATCTCCTTGAAACTTTTGCCATCTCATGAACTGTGTTGTTGGATTTGCTTCTTGGTCCTCTCAAAAGCCCTGGGACAAGTTGCCCTTGAAGATTTTGCACGTAAGTTTCCAGATCACCTTTCTCTCCCTCACCCCCTCAGCTTCCTACTTTTCACCGCCATCTTTTCTTTTCTTAAGGTGGAAACAGAAATCCAGCGTGTCTCAGAGGCATATGAGAACCTTGTGAAGTCATCCTCCAAAAGAGAGACCCTGGAGAAAGCTATGAGAAATAAGCTTGAAGGGGAGATTCGGAGGATGCATGACTTCAACAGAGATCTGAGAGGTGAGGGAGCCAATAGGCTCTTCTTTCCTCTTCCAAAGGGTTAGTCAAAGCAGTGAAATGAAAGGAGCATAATATGAGGCTCTAAGAAATTGTCCAGCCTACTGATAAGGCCAGATAATTTCTGAGCATGCACAGTCTAGGTTTTTGTGACTGAAGTAATGGTAAATCTTAAGCATAGTTTTCCCTCAAGCTTGGTTTCCCGTCAAAGTAGAGAAGTGCTTCTGACTGCCCTTCTGAAAGGTTTTGCATTATAAAGCAGTATTTTTTCCTGGGACTTTAAGACACACTTTCTTTCCCTCTTCTATTGGCTCTCCCCCTCTTCATTTGTAGGATTTGCTCAAGGCAAGTGTTTGGGTTGAGCAAGCTTAAAATACTGACTATCTTCCACTTCTTATTCCTGGAACTCTCTCCTTTTAGTTCCACCATGAAAATATTTTTAAAATTTAACATAAAAGTATTGAAGATGGTATCTTTCTTCTTTTAAATTGACTTCCAGCACCTTTGAAACAGATGACCTTGAGGGAGCTTTTATCTTTGAGCTCATGGTATCATATATATAGAAAATGAAATGGATAAGTGACTGTGAGAGAGCTCTGGTGGCTTAGTGGTAAGGGACTGCACTGCCTACCCAAAAACAGTCAGTTCCAATCCACCAGTGCTCTATGGGAGAAAGATGAGCATTCTCCTCCCATGTGATTTACTGCTGCTGGAAATCCACTAGAGGGTCAACTGTGAGTCAATTCTGAGTATATGTCACTTAACAGTAAGAAGTCACTATGAGTTGGAATCAACTTCACTGTCACAGGTTTGTGTTATGGGTTTTTTTGTAGCAGTTGCTGTTCTTGGTGTTTCATTTATTGGTTGTTTAGAAGTCTACACTCCCCATTTTTTTTTCAGTGAAGAATAAAAGTCTTGCATACCCATCAAATCTTTCTTCATCAAAATTGAGTTTTATTTTGTAATTCACTTTTCTAATTCATATTTGCAAACCTGTGTCTGTACAAACCATCTCAACAAGGAGAAAGGCAGGCTTGTATTTGTCGAGGATCAGTATTTAGAGGTCACACAGTATGCACTTAGAAGTTTGTATCTGAGACCCTGTTGATTGTGTCCAAATTCCACAGAGCGTCTAGAAACGGCCAACAAGCAGCTTGCAGAGAAGGAATATGAAGGGTCAGAGGATACCAGAAAAACCATCTCTCAGCTCTTTGCTAAAAGTAAGTATGACAGCTTTGGGGGCAGTTAGAAATGCGCAGATGGGAGTGAGGTATGTGAAAAAGTTCCACTGTTCTATTTAGCCTTCGAAGACCACCAGGGTTAAGTTGTGTCATCTACAGATTGTTTTTCTGGTCAAGCATGAAGTTTGGAAGGTTTTCTTCCTTTCCTTTTAGGCCAAGTTGGATGCTTTCTACAACATCTATAGTCACCCCAACATGACCCTTTCTGTATTAAATGGGGAAGGCCCTTTAAAATCTCTACCATCACCATGATGACCATTTGAAGAAAAGACCTTTGTGAAAATTAGAGCGTCTTCATGTTGAAGAGAGTTTGTTAGAAGAATCCAACGTCTTAGACAATCTGGTAGAGATGAGGTTAGCACGCAGTATTGATAAATGTCATTTGCAATTACTTCATTTGCACCTAGGGAGCCCTTAGCTAAATGCTTAGTATTTGATCTCATTAGATGTCCACAGATTGCAAGAGTAATCAGAGGGGAAACCACTGCTATGATCTGAACCGGTGCGAAAGCAACTGGATTCAGCGTTGGAGGGTTAGGAGAAGGCAGAGCTATGCCTTCCTCATAATAAAGTTTCTTTTGTGTGGAAATACTCTTAGGACCCTGACAGTGAATGAATCCTTTTCTTTATCAGTCCCCAATGGACTCCACCCAACTAGACAATGTCTTCTCCCCCGCCATTTGCCATAATAAGCCAGCAATAATAAAAATTACAAAATGGATTGAGTCCACAGGGAGAGTTAGTTGGTGGGAAACAGATGAAAAACTCTCATTTCTATAGATGCTTGTACTTGGTTGCTTCTGCTCCCAGCCTCCCTTCTTGCAGCTCACAGCCATAGTAGCAGTGCTTGATGGGGACTTGTCAGCCCTCATTTTTGCTGTGCCTCCAAAGCTCCTTTCAAGTCATCCCATGAAACTTCCAGTCAGTTTTTACAATGTGTTTGATCTTCTCTTACAATAATACTCTTAACCCTGAGTTGCTCTATTGGACGCTGGCTACAGAACTAGGTTTTGTTGTTGGGGTTTTTAGTGAGTTTTTTTCTTCTTCTTCTCCTTCTCCTTCTCCTCCCTCCTCCCTCCTCCTCCTCCCTTCTTCCTCCTTCCTCCTCCATCTCCTTCCTCCTCCTTCCTCCTCTTTCCCTGATTCTGTTGTTTCTTTGTCAGTATCTCTTAGAGGAAGGAATGTTGTCTTTCTAGTGTCATCGGTGCCTAGTAGAAATTGCTTGGAGGTGAAGTTGCTTTTGCAGTGTCATGGTTACCCTGGAAGTTAGTTCACTGGCAGAAAGAGGGTGGCAGCCTCCCAAGGCAAGACAAAACAAAACAAAAATATGAATTCTGGCCCCAAATCTGCTAGTTCACACTCCTCTGTGTGGGGATGATATTTCAGGTGTCCTGGGAGCTCTGCTACTTCTTTATAAAATGTTGTGATTTAGTAGATCACACTTAGATTAATATAGCAGAGAAAAAGACTGTCAAATGATCTGAGAAAGGGAAAGTAATCTCCATTAACTAGACAGAAAAGAGGGCATACTTCTTGGACTACTTAATTCCTTTTGCCATTGGGCATTGGCAGAGCCCTGCATGGTGGGAACTGGGGCAGGAGAAAAGAAACCCCTCTTGAAAAGCCTTGCTAAGGAATGTGTTCCAATCATTCTAAGGAGGCCAAATCTACTGAACTTAGAAGACAGCATAGTATAGTAGAAAGTGTTTAAACATGAATTCTGCTATTTATTTACCATTTATGGGCCCTGTACAAATTAGTTAACCTCTCCAAGTCTCTTTTTTTCTCTCATATGCAAACTGTAGAATTAGAAGCAGGAGTGGCATCCACTTCCTAAACAACATGCCTCCGGAAACTCTATGAACCTTGATAAATGTCGATAGTTATAGAAAGGCTTCAGGCCTTTTGTTCGTAGAGTCGCTATAAGTTGTCCTCAACTCGAAGGCAATCAAAAACAACAACAACAAACTGTAGAAGAGAACAGCCTTATATAATTGTTCTGAGAATTGAACTAAAAATATCCTATAGTGTTCAGTACATTACCTGATATATAGCAGATACCCCGTAAATACGTGCTCCTTTCCAAGGTACATCTAAATAGATAGAACATATCATGTTTGGAAGGGTGGAAGGACAGCACAAGAGAGAAAGACTCTGGATGAGATGGATTGACTCAGTGACTGGGGTAATGAGAGTAGGTGTGTCAGAGACAATGAGATTGGCTCAAGACAGGGCAGGGTTCAGAGCTATTGTGGTCACTATGAGTTGACGGCACATAACAACAACACAACAGAAAAGACTATTACATTTTTTTCTCCTACACATTTGAAAATATCTACTACTCTGGAGAAAGGGTACCCTGCCTCCAAATTGGAAGCAAAGCAACTAGTGTGAGTATTTTGTGTGAAGGATGTCTTAATTAAAATGAGAAGCAGCTAGAAAGGGATGATAAACCACAGCTATAAGACAATCCTAGATTCAGGAAGAAAGAATTGCTAAAAACACACAACACCACAAACTAATAGAGAGACTCTATTCAATCACAAAAGGCATAATTTGAAGGTACAGATTCTTTGTCATTATTAATGGTGATCATGACTACCACCATCGTGATTCTCTTTGTTTAGGTAGCAATTTCTTTTAGTATTTGTGCTATCTAAAGCGTCTATCATTTAGGTTTTCTGTTACCTAATTTTAAACTTTTATGAGGTTAAATGTTATTGTTGGTATGTGCCATGAAGTTGGCTGTGACTCATAGCAACCCTGTGAACAATGGCTCTGATGAACAATGATGACCCGATCCTGAACCACCCTCATACTCTCTGACACATCTGACCTCATTGCCACAGTCATTGTGTCAACCCGTCTTGCCCAGAGCCTTCCTCTCTTGTGTTGACCTTCCACTCTTCCAAACATGATGTCCTTCTGCAAGGCTTAGCCTGTCTGCCAACATGTCCAAAGGATGTGAAATGCGGTTTCAAAATCTTTGCCTCCAAGGAGCAACTTGATTTCACTCTCTCCAGGTCAGACATGTTTGTTCTCTTGGCAACTCAGTACTCTTCTCCAGCAACACAACTCCAAGACATCAATTCTTCTTCTGTCATCGTTAGTCATTTTCGAGCTCTGCAATGCATAGCAAGCAGTTGAGAAGACCATGTCCTGGATCAGGCGCACTGTAGTCTCTAGACATAACATTGCTCTTCAGCCAATGCATCTCGTCTTTTGATTCCCTGACTGCTGGTGCCCAGGGTATTATTCATTGTGGATCTGAGCAAGATGAAAAACTTGACAACTTCATGAAATAAGATAATATTATTATCTCTACTTTAAAACATGAAAAAATAGAGACATGGTTGGGTGTTAGGTCAATTGACTTGATCAAGCCAATCCCAAGTCAAGCAGTCCACTATTGTGTCAGTCTTTCTTGTTGAGGACTCTCCACTTACAAAGCATGATGTTCTGTTCCAGGGGCCAATCCTCCTATTTACATCATGTATGAAGTGAGATGAAGTCTAGGATTTCTTGTTTCTAAGGAACATTGTATCAGTACTTCTTCCAAAACAGATTTTCCCCCCCCTTTCTTCTGGAAACCCATTATATAGTCAATATTCTTTGCCACCAACATAATTCTTACTGTATCAGTTTTTCTGGGACCTTCCTTAATACTTACCTCGCTTTCTTACACATATGAGGTGATTAAAATTCCCATGGCTTAAGTTACGTACATCTTGGGTCTCGAAGTGATAGCTTTGCTTTTGAATACTTCAAGGAAGTCTTTTGTAGCAGATTTTCCCAATTCAATATGTCATTTGATTATTATTTATTTTTTTTTACTACTTCTTGGCTTCTGTGTAAACTACTCAGAACAGATTCAGAACAGTGAAATAAACCATCTTACAAGCCTGTAGTAAGCATCATTTCATTATGGAATATTATCTCTCCTAAAGAAGCTCTAGTGGTCTCTTGGGTAAGGAGTTGTACTGCCAACTCAGAGGGAGATGGTTCGAATCCAACAACTACTCCTTGGGAGAAAGATGGGCGATCTCCCCTCATGTGATTTATAGCTTCTGAACACCCACTGGATGGTCAGCTATGAATTGCTTCCAACTTGACAGCACATAACAACAGCAACAACAACAACATCTGCTGATGCACATTTAGCAAAGTATATATATATTCTCAAGGAAAACAGAACAAAAAAAAATCCAACATTACTTCAGCTATGAGTAAAGTTACCTGAATAGATTTTAAAACAAAACAAACTTTTGTGCCTCTTTTCTCCTTTTCTACTTTTGTGTCTCTTTTCTCCTTTTCAGTTTTATCTTGTGCCTTTTTTTTTCTTGATTAGATTCCTCTAGTGATTTATCTATTTTCCCCCATGAATGTTTATGATCCCCCCTCCTCAAAGAAAAAAAATAATTAGCTCTTAAACAGATTTTGGTTTATGGACATGGATCCATAGAAAAGGGTTTCCTCAAAAGTATTTTTTTTTTAATGAAAGAGGCAGATTCAATGAGGTGTGATACTTTCATTGTATGTCAGGAGAGTATTTTTGATTGTTTTCAAGAGAATTATAAACATTGAGTGAGAAATTGATTCGAATTAGTTTTGCCCAAACTAAAGGCTAATACAGTGGAAATTTGTTGAAGAGGTTCATCATATTGCTTTTCTCCTTCGGCTTAACTTGTACCATGCAGTACTCAGCTATAGAGAACAGATGAGATTGTGATGGAGGAGTCCGATATCTGCTGTAGACCTTCAGTTTGCCTTTCCCTAGGAAGCCAAAGAGCCTAGCTTCTGTCTTTAGGAAGATCTGTGAGTGGTGCACAGGAGACCTCAGTGTGTAGGTGGATACGTGTGTTGAGCAGGGAAGGTAATAGATAACTGAGATAATACTTTATGTTCCAGTTTTCATGTCTTTTTGCTTTCTGATAACATTTGTGCCTGTTCTTATGACACTTTGCTCACTGAACTTCAACAGAATTCTTTGTTGCCTAGCTTAGGGGCACTCCAAATCTTAATGGATCTCTCTCTCCTTGTCATGGAGCCAGAACTGATACATATCATAGCTGACCCTCGAGCGAATTTTCCAAGGCTGTGATTTGATTGTGTGGGAGGCGATTTCCCATCTTCCTCCCACGGAGCCACTGGGAGATTGAAACTATCAGGAGGAACAGCTTGTGGGTTAGTCACACGCTACCAGAGCTCCCTTCTTGATTGATGTGGTAATGGTGGCGGTGGTGGTTGTCAGTTTGGAACTAACTCATAGCTGGCCCTCCAGTGAGTTTTCAAAGGCTATAAATTCACACAGGTGGAGATTGTCCATCTTTTCTCCCTTTGAAGAACTGGTGGATTTGAACTGTGTGTGCCTTTGGATTAGCAGCTCAATTCCTTACCACTAGGCTGCCAGACCTCCCCAGAGGTCTTCATTGATATAGAACATGTGAATCCAAAGAATTGAGCTCAAGTCCTCATCTAGAGAACTGCTCATTTTATACACATGTTCACACAAGATTTTTATTGGGGAGGTTAATCTATTTGGGTAGGTTTTATCAATATAATGGTTCCCCTTGTAATGAATTTCAGACTTAAGATTCATCCTGCTTTTGAATATGATAGACAAGGGAGCTAATAGGAAAGACTTTGTCAGGACCCCATCTACGATAGACCATAAACTAGGACTAGTCAAAGACATGTTTAACACGTTGCCGCAAATGATGGCAAGATGTGCTTCTTTTTTTATTTTTTATTTTTGCAAGATGTGTTTCTAAGCACGGTGTCAATTTAAAAGTGTGCGGCAACGTGTTAAGTGATAACATGGGAGACATGAGTAACCACCTCACTGGGAGTTAGTTATACTCACGAAAGGTGAAATATATCAAATACTGTTAACATTTATGGGTATTAACATGAAGTATAGTCACTATAAGAGGGTACCCTGAGAACATTAGAACTGAGACACAAACAGAACGGAGATTTGTACACCATTGCTCATAGCAGTATTATTTACCATCACAAGAACATGGAAAGAGCCCAAATGTCCAACCACAGTCGCATGGTTGAGAAAGTTTGGTTCATTCACTAGCTCACTTGTGAGGAACTGGATGGTATTATGCTAAGTGAACTAACGCAGTTCCATAAGGACAAAACTGTATAAGACCATTATTGTAGTAATAGATTTAATTAAAAAACCACACCAAAAAAATAACTAGTAAAACATGTATGAGGATCTATAGGGGGAAGGTGGAAGCAGAGGGGTGAGGATGGTGGGGGGATAATCATAGGGTCGCACAATTTGATGGGTAGAGAGGGAAGGGTGAATAAAGGAAACAGGAAAGATGTAGTGTGAAAAACCACGTATATGAATTTTGTAAGTATACCGGTATAAAAGGAAAAAAAAATTTAAAAAATGAGGTTAAGTTGAGATATTGAGATTTGTGTAGAGACCACTTATAAATCTATATTGAGTTATTCAAATGATATATTGTGATACCATTCTTCTTTTCTGAACATTACCTTATGGCTTCTAGCCCATACAGGTGCTTAATTTTTCTGTGTTTCTCATATCTATCTCCAGATACTTATCGAGTCTCTATTATATAGACACTGATGAACTGAAGTCCATAACATTCAGACTGAAAAGACCCTCACTTTGCTGGTGGCACAATGGCTAAGGGCTCAGCGTCTAACTAGAAAGACTGGATGATTAAAACCTGCTTCCGGGCTAATTTAGAAAGGAAAAAAATTGATTGTCTGATCTGATACTCCAACGATTATAGCAAGAAAAGCCTAGGGGCTGGTAGTCCTCCTGTCACATCGGGTCAATATGATTTGGAAATTTGCCAAATGGCACCTGGCAAGAATGGTAATGTTCACATATATTAATTAAGTACATAGATATATCCAATTGCCGTTAAAGATGTAATCTAAACTTTAAAGCTAAGCCAAAGATAATTATTTTCTGGGAGGTGACTTGGCCACTCTTACTCCATTGATCTTACTATTTCACCCCTCTACCCTGCCCTGGATTGACTCAGTGACTGGAGAAATGGGATTTGGTCTGTGGGAGACCATGAGGTTGGCTCAGGATAGGGCAGAGTACAGAGCTGTTGTACATAGGGTCTTTATGAGTTGCAGGCGACTCAGTGGCACATGACAGCAACCACCCTACTTTGTACTGCATGGTAAGAATAGGAAAAAGCTTAAATATGACTCCCAGTTCTATCTTGTTCTCACTTTAAAGCTGTTGAGTTCCCACAAGAAGCGGATTCTGAGAGTGAAGGGTTCATTTAGGGCTTGGGTTAGGCTTTGTCTGGAGAGGAGATATCGTCTAGTAGATTTGATCTCAGGAAAAAATATTAGTGTAAAAGATAGGATTTTAGGTCTTATTCCCGCTACTAAATAACATTTTTAGATCTGTTCACTCTACTTGTCAGGATGAAGCAATGTCTTTATTCCCCCCACACAAACACCCCACCAATGAGAGACTGGTTTGAAGAAATGAAATTGAAGTGACAAGGCACTACCTTCACTTCTGATATAGACACATAATGTATTACATATATAATGTATATGTGTGTATTATATGTTATATGTATTATATAAGTCATATATGTGTCTTATATGATCATGTATATATATCATGTATGTGACCCTCTATGAGGTGGATTGATTCAGTGACTGGGGTAATCGGGATGGGTGTGTCAGAGGCAATGCAGTTGACACAGGATAATAGAGCAGGGTTTAGGGCTGTTGTACATAGGGTCGCTTTGAGTTGCAAACCACTCGACGGCACATAACAACAACAACATGTATATATATATAGTGTGTGTGTGTATATATGTATATATGTGTGTGTGTATTTATATAGTGTGTGTATATGTATATATGTGTGTGTGTGTGTATTTATATATATACACACACACACGGCCTAAAGCCCCTCTGTAACTATCGACATTTATCAAAGTTCATAGAGTTTCCAGAAATGGATATATTCCATTGTGTAATGATGCTTACTACTTTTTATAATTCTTTCTACACCTTACTTTCTTATTGCTTGTGCATACCTTTGTTAAGTACCTTTCCTGAATTGACGTAAATTACTGACAGGGTCACTAATAAAAGCCACAGTTTGCAGGTCCTGATGGACCCTCAACCTTTCGTATTCTGGTTTTGTTTGTTTGTTCAGCTGTCTACATATCTGCAAATTTTGCTCAAGTAAAACTTTAAGCCTCCTCCTGCATGGGCATATTGATATTTCATGTTCCGACAGATAAAGAAAGTCAGAGGGAGAAGGAGAAACTGGAAGCCGAGCTGGCCACTGCCCGTTCTACCAATGAGGACCAAAGACGACACATCGAAATCCGAGACCAGGCCCTGAGCAATGCCCAGGCCAAGGTGGTGAAGCTGGAGGAAGAGGTAAGGTATCTTCTGATTGCACAGGAGCCTGGAATGTCAGAGACTCTGGATATCATTGTCACTGGGCTCTCCATTTTGGTGAACTGACAGCTAACCCATGCCCCATTAGTTATGGCTATGTCAGTGTGAGAGACTTTGATTTCTTTTCCTTTTACTTCATGTTCTTCATGTTCTGTTCTTCTCTTCTAAAGCAAAGGAGTGATTTATTTTATTTTAAATTTGCTCATTCATGGAGTAAACTTCCCTCCCAACCCAGTACTTATTTTGTACCTACCACTGCCTATAAGAGTGATTTTTTTAAAAATAATCAACAAAACAAAATCCCTTCCTTTGTATGAAATTCAAGCTTAATTTTAGAATAGCTAAAGAAAAAAAAATGAGGCCAGATATTTTTAAATACTCTTAAGGGGTTTGAAATCAGGTGGTCCTACTCTCCCCGTGTTCAAAACAAAGATTCCTCCCAGATGAGCTGCTGGATTCATTCCATCAGTTGAGTTTTGAAATAGAAGCAGCCATAGTAGGTTGGAGACAGATTGACACTTAGGGACAACTGAAAGATTATCTTGGGAGAGTATGCTGACCATGAACTGGTTCTGGCACATAGTTTTATGGTGGAAAGAAGTAAGTTATTTGTCTGCAGGCATGGAATTATTACTTGATGCTCACGCCAGTGCTGTTGAGTATGAACTGACTCTTAGCTGACCTTCAAGCAGGCTTTCAGAGGCTGTAAATTGCACAGTCTGTAAACTGCCTCTATTTCTCCTGTGGAGCAGTTAGCCAATTTGAACTGCCTGCCACTCAATTAGCAGCATAACTCTTTTAGCTAATAGGCTACCCAGGGCTCCTACATTAGTAAGCATGTGTTGAATATAGATGTCTAAGGATCTTTGATTTCGATTTTACTGGATTGTAACACTAAAGTACGCTCAGGTAAAATGTAAATAACTTGCTGCTGGCTTAGTATGAATCTTTCCTCTTGTCATTGTACTGAAACAGCAAGGATAGAAGTTGGTCTTAGGCATTTAGCACTTCAGGGGATGGGAGTATTTGAGCAAAACCTACTCAAATGCTGAAGTGTAACTTGGTAGAAGAAAATAGGACATCTGTTTGAACATTTGAGTTGCACTAAGGGAGCTCTAGTGGCCTTCGTGGTAAGAAACTGCACTGCAATCTCAAAGGCACGTAATTCAAATCCACCAGCTGCTTCATTGGGGAAGAACTGCTTCCATGTGATTAACTGCCTCTGAAAACCCACTAGAGGGTCAGCTCTGGCTAAGGTCTGACTTGATGGCACCAACCACAACAAAGGGGGGAAATGCAGCCTCTCTCATAAAAAGTGTTTAAACTTAAGGCAGAAAAAGGATCTTGTGTGAACAAATTCTCAGCATTCTGGCTGTCTCATGTGAGCTGTCACTCCTACCTTCATTGCTTATTTCTCCTCCTGGAGTAAAAATGGTTCAAATTCCTGGAAAACTCTTGACATCGGGGGTTCTTTTTCTTTCTTCCTGGATGTACAACAGTGCATGTGAGAGCTGGGTTGTGGGTTTGTATTTTCCCAATAGGTGTCATTATCTAACCTCTTGGGCCCCCCCTTTTGCCTGAACTGTTGAAGTGTTAAACGTCAGTGTGTATGAAATTAGGTAAAAGCCCTGCTTCCTAAGCTCTCTACATCAGAATGAAATTATTAAAAAGGAGGATATGCATTTGCCTAGCATCCAGATCTTGGGCGAACTTCGCATGGCCTTTAAGACTTTTGATACACTTTATGTCTTCCCTTCCTTTTGTGCTAGATAGAGGATTACAGATGAGGTTACAAAACAGGACTTAAAGTGTAGTCTCTTAGAGAAGGGAAAAGTGAGAAGCCCATGGAGAAGGAGTAGCTTGCTGGTGGTCACATGGCAAGTCTTGGGTTGAGCCAGGAATAAAACCAGAATCTCATGACTCTTCATTCCCTAGATCCTGCTGCCTGCCTCCCTGTCTGAATCATCGTTTGGTTCAACTCCCAAAAAGAAAATGTGGGCGCTTGTTCAGATATAGTAACCTCTGCATCTTTTCATTTTTTCAAAAAGGGCTCCTCTGTTTTCCGCAGACTGTAACAAAGCTTTTCCAGACTGTTTTGAGATTGGAACATATATCCCAGCCCCTCTGTCCCTTCAGGATAGGTGCTTGTCCATTTGGCAAATAGTGGGGAGAAAAACCATCATCACCACCACCACCACCACAACAACAACAACAAAAAACAACACACACACACACACCCTTTGCAACCATCTTGGTTTGCAGTGTTTGAGAGCACAATGGTTACTGGTTGTTAATCATCAAAATAAATAAATGTCTTTGGAGGCGATGTTAATCTGTGGTTCCCACTAAGCAGCTCTCACTGAAAAGAATTGCCAGAAAAACACTTCTGGCTTCAACCTTCTGAGGCTTTTCTGGGCATTTGCTCCAGAGATTTCTTAGTAGCTTTCCAGGAGCTGGCCAGAAAAATATATAGATTAACAGTTTAGAGAGGAAGTTCTAAATATCAATTTAGTTTTAAAATGATGGCTTCTAGTGCCAGACATGTCCACTGAGCATATCAATTGCCATAATTTTTTTTTAAAAAAAATTCTTATCGAAATTGTGTTTTCACACGGAGCCTTAGTTGTTTGGAAATTCTAATCTACTGCCGCTCAAGAAGGTGGGACGTTACTGTGGGAGAGCAGGTTCACAGGCTTCAGTGGTAGTGTATGTATGCTCCTGTGTGGACTTTCTCTGGTTTCTATCCACAGAATCGCAGAAATCACATAATACCTTCCAGACTCAAGTCCTATCACCTCAGACACTTACGAAGGCATGAAACCACCCCTCAGTGAAGAGAGAGAGAGAGAAATCGACTGTTTTCTTACTTTCCTTTTTGTAGCAGCCTATCAGATCTGAGTTCACTCCTGGGTGGGTGGTGTTTGCCCTTTCTTGCCTATACTGTTCAAAGGAGAGCATGCTTTCATTTTCCTTCTGTAGGGATTACTCCTGTGTTTTCTTCCTGTGGCTCACATTTGGTCTCACTCTTGCTTGGGTAAAATTTCTGATTCTAGAACTTTAGTAAGGTGTTTGAAGTGAAGGGGTAGCGCTGCAACTGATTTCATTCTCCTCTCCTCTCCTCCCCTCCCCTCCCCTCTTCTCCTCCTCTCCCCTCCTTCCTCCTCTCCTCTCCTCTTTCCTTCCTCCTCCTCTCCTCCTCCTCCTCCTCCTCCCCGCCTCCTCTCCTTCTTCCTCTCCTTCCTCCTCTCCTCTCCTTCCTCTTCTCCTCTGCTCTCCTCTCCTTCCTCCTCTCCTCTTCTTCCTCCTTTCCTCTCCGTCCTCTCCTCTCCTTCCTCCTCCTCGTCCTCGTCCTCCTCCTTCTTCTTCTTTCTCTCCCTCTTTCTCTCTCTCTCTCCCTCTCATCTTTCCTATCTCTCTCTTTCCTCTCTCATCTCTCTCTCGCGCGCGCGTCTCTTTTGTCTCTCATCTCTCTCATATCTCTCTCACATCTCTGTCTCTCATCTCTCTCTCGCGTCTCCCTTGCATCTTTGTGTCTCATCTCTCTGTATGTGAGTGAGTGGGAGGGGCATCATCATCTTAGGTGTGATATGTGCTATGCTTAAGCCCCTTTTTATGTTGTGATTTGTTTGAAAGTTTCTAAAGAACACTGGTTTTCCATTCACACAGGTTTTTCTTTGTGACCTTAATTACGGTACCGACAATATAACATTCCTCCCACTTCCTCCCTGTATTTCTCATTTCTTCTGCTCCGTCTCTTCCTGCCTTCAGGGCCTGTCACTGAGAAAATGCTGCCCTTTTGATCTTCTGTGATTGAATGTTCCGGGAAATGAATGTCTCCCTGATGCTATTGGTTGCCTTGTAGAGCTGTCTGTTGTCTGGATGAAATTTGAGCCATAGGAGTGTAACTTTTGTTCCAGATTCCAAGGGAGATTAAGAGCTCAGGGGTTCCACTAGTCCCTATGGGACCAGTAAACCTGTCCATCTCTGTTTTTTGAGCTTTGCTCCATGATTTTTTGCCCTGTCTGAGACCTTCTGTAATCCTTTTTAGAGTAGACAGCATAGGTAGCAGAAGTAGCAGCCAGGCACCCACTCTTTGGGTCCTGGAGGTTGAGGTTTGTGTAATCCATTTATACTAATTCTTTCTATACACCTTTGGGTTTCTTTCTCCCCCTTTGTTCTAGACTTTCTCCCTTTTTCCCTCAAGACTTAGCTCTTCCACAGAAAATCTCTGCTGTCTTAACTTGTAACAAATCAGAGAAACCTTATCAGATAGTCTTTTATATAGGGATGGATTTTTCGCATTTTTTTCGAATTTTTTTTTTACACTGATAGTTATGGGGTTTACTAGGGAAGTGAACAGGTTAGAGTTCAGGTCCTTGGCAGCAGGATATAATCCCTCAGCCCTCTCCAGCATCAAAGGTGTGCAATCCCTCAGTCCAGACAGCTTCTCCATTGTGTTCATAGGCATGCCCTTTGACCTTCAGCCTCAAGGTTTAGGTCAGATTTACAAAGTGCCCTTAATCCTGCCATTTATGGCGTCTTCCCTCAGTCCTCCAGCAAACGTGAGCAAAGGCCTCAGGCTCGGGGCGGGGGGCGGGGGGGCAGGGATGCAGCAAGCCCAAGTCAGCTGTCTCATGTTGGTCTCTGGTTTGCTGCTGAGGAAGGCTGTGGTGGACCACTGTCATCTCTGGCCTCGATGGATGCACACTGTACTTACTTCCTGCTTCCTCTTCCTTGCTAGTAGGGAGGTTCTCAATGTCACAACTAAATCATCTCAGTCCCACTTGGTTGAGTGGGGGGAAATGTACCAATCCCATATGGTTACTTTATGTACTCCCTATTTTATTTCACCTGGTCCTGTGGAGTGGTTCCACGCTGGAAGATGATTTCTCGCATCTTGATGAGGGTCACGCAAGGGACATTTTTTATTGTTATTGGTCAAATTAACTAATTTGGGGATGAACATTCTTTAAGTGGTA